ACTCCTACCACTCCAACACCACCAAGGCAATATGTTGGAACCCTTCCCAAATGCAACAGGTGCAACTTCCACCATACTGGTGCTTGTCGGGAAATGCGTTGCAACAACTGCAATAGGAAGGGACATACCACTCGATTCTGTAGAGCACCAACCGAACCCATAACTCAAGTCCCCAACACCGGAGTGGGTCGAGCCTGCTACAACTATGGGGAAACGGGGAACTTCAAACGAGACTGCCCAAAGGCATGAAATGCCAATACTAGAGATGTAAGAAGAGTCCTAGCTATAGGACATGGAGAAGCAGTCCAGGATCCTACGGTGGTTACCGGTACGTTTCTCCTCAATAACTCATATGCATGTGTATTTTTGATAGTGGGGAAGAGAGGATTTTTGTGAGCCACCAATACAAACATTACTTAAACAAAATCCACAAGCACTAAAAGATTCATAAGTCGTAGAAATGGCAAACGGGAAAGTAGAATGCACTAGTGATATATACTCAGGGTGTACTCTTACTCTAGACAACCATTCGTTCAAAATTGACCTAATATCGGTCACAATGAAAAGTTTCGACATCATCATTGGTATGGATTGGTTAAGTCCAAATCATGCCGACGTTATATGTTACGAAAGGGATGTCTGTCTTAATCTGCCAAATGGCGAAACCCTTTTCATCTACGATGATAAACCTAGTCTAATTTACAAATCACTTCGTGCGTCAAAGCTCAAAAGTATCCCCGAAAGGAATACCATGCATTTTTAGTCCACGTGGTAGATAAGAACCGAGAAACAAAGGACCTCAAAGACATCCCGGAGGTCTGTAACTTTCCCGACATGTTCTGAGAAGACTTTCCAGGCGTACCACTTGCACTACAAGTCGAATTCCAAATCGATTTAGTCCCAGGAGCTACCCCTGTAGCCAAGGCTCCATACCGTCTTGCGCCGATGGAAATGCAAGTACTGTCCAGTCAACTGAACGAGCTACTGAGCAAAGGATTTATCAGACCAAGCTTTTCACCTTACGGAGCACCAGTCCTATTTGTAAAGAAGAAGGATGGATCATTTCGCATGTGCATCGACTATCGTGATTTAAACATACTTACTGTCAAGAATCGATATTCCCTACCCCGAATCGACCAACTACAAGGAGCGAGTTACTTTTCGAAAATCGACTTGAGGTCAGGTTATCATCAACTGCGAGTTTAAGAGGATGATATACCCAAGAAAACTTTCAGAACGTGCTACGGCCATTACAAATTTGTGGTGATGCCCTTTAGACTAACAAGCGCACCTGCGGTATTCATGGATCTGATGAACCGAGTGTGTCGACCCTTCTTAGACAAATTCGTAATCATATTCATCAACGATATATTGGTCTATTCGCGAAGAAAAGAAGAGCACAACCAGCATTTGCGACTAGTACTGGAGACTCTAAGAACTGAGAAGCTTTATGCTAAACTTTCAAAGTGCGAATTTTGGCTCCGAGAAGTAGGACTTTGTTGGCCATGTGGTTAGAGAGAAAGGGATACATGTGGATCCATAAAAAAATCAAAGAAATCGAAAACTGGGCTACACCAGCAACACCAACGGAAATCTGACAATTTCTAGGGCTAGCGGGATATTATCAGAGATTCATCTAGAACTTCTCCAAGATCGCAAAACCACTCACCACCCTGACTAAAAAAGGTGTGGCATTTAGTTGGGAGACTAAACAAGAAATTGCCTTCCAAACACTAAAGCAAGCCCTGTGCAGCACACCAATCTTGTCTCTTCTAGAAGGGACTGAAGATTTCATGGTCTATTACGATGCTTCAAATTAAGGCCTTGGATGTGTGCTCATGTAAAGGGGAAATGTCATCGCCTATGCCTCAAGACAACTTAAAACGCTTGAAGTTAACTACACTACTCACGATCTCGAGTTAGGAGCGGTAGTGTTTGCCCGAAAGATCTGGAGACACTACCTCTATGGCACAAGGTGCACCATATACATTGATCATAAGAGCCTCCAACATATCTTCAATAAAAAAGAACTCAACATGAGACAGAGAAGATGGGTAGAATTACTGAACGACTATGAGTGCGGGATTTGCTACCATCCGGGCAAGGCCAATGTAGTAGCAGATGCCTTAAGCAGAAAAGAATACTCGGGATGCCGAGTAAAGTCACTAACAATGACGATCCATTTGCACATGTTCACACAAATCAAAGAGGCCCAACTAGAGGCCTTGAAACCGGAAAATGTGACGAGTAAGGCATTACGGGGAATGGATAAGAACCTTGAAGTAAAAAACGATGGAACTTGTTACCTCATGAATCGAATTTGGACCCCGAAGTTCGGCGGGTTCCGAGACGTTGTCATGAACGAAGCCCACAAAACCCGATACTCCATCAACGTAGGTTCAGATAAGATGTACCTGGATCTTAAGAAGTTACACTGGTGGCTGAACATAAAAGCGAAGATTGCAACTTTCGTGGGCAAGTGTTTGACTTGCGCCAAGGTAAAAGTAGAATACCAAAAACCGTCAGGCTTACTGCAACAACCAGAAGTCCTCAAATGGAAGTGGGAATGGATAACTATGGACTTCATAACCAAGTTACCCAAGATGACGTGTCGAATGGATACCATTTGGGTAATTGTTGACAGGCTAACCAAATCCGCTCACTTCCTGCCGATCAGGGAGACTGAAAAGATGGAGAAACTGACCAGGACCTACATTAAAGAGATTGTACGACTGCATGGGATACCAATGTCCATTATCTCTGAAAGAGATAGTAGATTCACTTCACGATTTTGGCAGTGTTTACAAAAATCTCTGGGCACTAGGTTGGACATGAGTACCGCCTACCAGCCACAAACCGACGGACAGAGCGAAAGAACCATTCAGACACTTGAAGACATGCTGAGAGCTTGTGTAATAGATTTTGGTAAAGCATCGGATACCCACTTACCACTCATCAAATTCTTTTACAATAATAGCTATCATACCGGCATCAAGGCCGCTCCGTTCAAAGCTCTATATGGTCGTAAATGTAGATCACCCCTGTGTTGGACCGAAGTGGGGTACACCCAGCTAACTAAGGGGCAAGTCCCAAATAGAGCCCTCATTGGTCCTAAAATCATAAGGGAAACCATAGAAAAGATCGTTCAAATACGAGAAAGACTAAAAGAATCTCGTGACCGACAAAAGAGTTAGGCCAATAAATGACACAAACCATTGGAGTTCCAGGTTGGAGCCAGTGTGCTATTGAAGGTATCTCCTTGGAAGGGTATGATACATTTTGGTAAACGTGGGAAACTAAACCCTAGGTATATCGGGCCGTTTGAAGTCGTTGCCAGGATTGGTCCTGTGGTGTACAAACTCCGACTACCACATGAACTTAATAACGTACACCCTACCTTCCACGTATCAAACTTAAAAAAGTGCTTATCCGATGAGACCCTCATAATACCACTCGAGGAAATCGAAGTTAACGAGAATCTCCACTTCGTCAAACATTGTATTTTGTCAACATAATGTAATTGATTCAGAAACATGTAAACATATACTATGATATAACTTTTTCAATTATATTTATGTTGGTTGTCTATACTTTGAGCACTATTATAATTGTTGTTATGATACTATACATGAAGTCCTCCACCCCCGGACATTTCCACCATCCTTGGTTTGGGGGTGTGACAACCGCCGTCCGTTGCATACCACATATTCTATTCAATTAAGGTGAGATTTTGTTCATCCTTCTTTCGTTTAACTGTGTCTGCTCTAGATTTTCCTTTTCCCATGATTTTAGTTGAAATCGAAATCATATGTGTTTGTTGAACTCAAAATATGTATGATGTCTGCAAATTTTAGATGTGTGTGTTACTGTTTTTGTTCAACTGCATTCAATTGCATGCTCTCGAGTTTCCTTTCCCACTGATTTCAATAATCGAAATCACATGTGTTATTGCTTACTGTCACTGCAATGGTTATTGTAAATGCATATCATCGTTTGATTACAAACGAAGTTTACTATAAAACATTATGTGTGGACTATATCTCTGTCTCTTGAGAATATGTTTCGAAAAAAGTGTTTCCAAATTAACTCATTTCAACATTGTAATGATACGATAGTCAAAGCATGATGAAAAATAATCGCAATTAATTATATGCATTTACAATAACCTCTTTCTCTCTCTCTGTATATATATATATATATATATATATATATATATATATAATCTTATGTGGCTTTTGAAAGTAGGATTATGTATTACAATCAAATAAGTATTGTGTTATACAAATTATCAAACACCTAAATCAACTAACAATTAAAATTCTCAGTTTTGGACCCAAAACAGCCACTGTTTAAAGCTGTTTTACCACACCTGAAACCTATATAACTTCCGTTTTTTATTTCATATTCCAGAATTTAAGACTTTTATCTTTTCATAATGTAATTTCGAAGGTCCAAAGGATTTTTCTAAAATTTTATATGATTTGTACAAAATTACCTATCAATGCAGCTAAATTCTGACCAGCTGGTGAATAATGTGATTTCTCCAAAGTTTGTAGCAACAAAAGGTTATGGAAAAATTAATGGATAAACTAGATACAAAATGGAATCTTTGAAAGTTTACGGGTCATTAATTTGATTCCTCGTTATTTATTTATAATTTTTCCAATACAAGGACAAATTTGTAATTTTTGCTGAATTTTCCAGCTTTGGATTTCAAAGGCTTTTTGACAACTTAACACATTAAGCCATCACTAAGAACACCCATAAGGGTAAAAATTATCCTCTTAATAGATGTGGCATGTCAAACAATAAAAATATCATCCCACTCATAACCCACTCATCAAGGTAGAAAATATTTGGTGGAAAACAAAGTAGGTTGCACAAATAGGAACTTGGATTTCTTCCACCACCAATTCTCATAGAAGGACTTTGAAATATTGTTTTGAGGCTTATTGATAGACTCAAAACATGATTTAATCTAAACAATAAACAACAAAATCATGAGCACTCTTGTATTTATTTCTTTTCTTTCTCTGCCTCTATTGTTGGTTTGTGAGTATGCAGAAAGCAATTTTTCTGACTCCTTGGACATGCTTGAGGATAAAAGTTTAAAAATAGAAGATGATTCTGACTTGCCATCATGGTCAGGTGATGAACGTGGTGTCATGGTTCTTATGAATGGTGATAGCTTTGGTGCTGTTGGAGATGAAGTTTCTGATGACACAAAGGTGAATATACATATATAGTCTTTCTTGATTGTATTGATGAAGTCATTAAAGCGATTCTTTTTATTTTCATGTATGTTACATAACAAGCCTGTAAGGTTGAACCTTATAATATGATGATGTTTGAAATTGATCCATCAGCATCAGTGTCAGCATAAAAGTTGTTCAGTATTATATATTGTCTTATATGTAACAAATTTAGTATTTATGTTGTTTCCATAGTTATCATATATTAATTAGCTGGAACATTCCTGATTTGTAGGGATTGTCTATAATAGTTCTATATAATCTTTTGTACGGGTTTGTGAAGGGGTTGTCTTTCACAAACCCTAATAGCCGCTTTGTGCGGACAATAATCTCTTTGTGAGATTATCATTCTTAGTGAAAGCCCTTTGTGATATTTCGTTGTTCTGTTCTTATTATTAGTCATTGTTTGATAAATCGATTTATCGAAGGTCCTTTCAATTGGTATCAGAGCAGGTTTCTTTTATCAAACAAATGGCTTCATCCTCTTCTTCTTCAAACTCATTAAATCATCCTTCTGCTAAAATTCCTCCGTTTGATGAAACAAATTTTGCTATGTGGAAAATAAAGACTCTCTATGAATTAGAGTCAGTAGTTGAAGACATGCTGGACATCAAAAGGGTCCATATGTTCCGATGTATCAGCCCTTGAAAAACAACGTTCCTGATGTTGCCATGAAGAAAACTGGACGGCAGATGAAAAAAGAAAGAATGGTCTAGATGTTCGTGCTCGGGCTGCAATCAGCTATGCTTTGCCATACAATATCTTTGGGCTGGTTCAGAATTGCATCTCAGCAAAAGAGATGATGGATACACTGATTGTATCTTTTGAAGGCACTGAAGAAGTCAAGGCTACTTAAATAAATGATCTAAACAGAAAGTATGAACACTTTTTTGCAAAGAAAGGTGAAACCCTGACTCTAACCTTTAACAGGTTTAATACTCTTGTTAATGATCTGCGGAGACTAGATCAGTTACAACATCGAACTGTTCTAGTGTAGAAGTTTTTGGATTCTCTGGGTGCAGGTTGGGAGAACCATGTTGATGTGCTGAAAAATAGTGAGAAGATCAATACTATGGACTTACAAAGTCTCTATGGAAACCTACGATACTATGAGGAACCCAAGCTTCAGAGAAAGGAGTTGATGAAGGATTCTCAGCGTGAGTCATCAGTAGCTTTATTCTCAAACAAAAAGCAAGTGTCAGAGTCAGACACTGAAAACCATTCAGACACTAATTCTTCTAAAAGTGACACTGATGATCTCGAAAAGATCGTGGCTAGTGCGGCTTTGATTGTGAAGATTTTTGAGAAATCAGGCCGAAATTTCTCAAAGTTTCAGAAGAAGATGAGTGGGAAATCTTCAAAAAGATCAGACGCTGATAAAAAGCGTGGCACTGAAAGGAAAGGGAATGCTCAGTGATTTAACTGTGGGAGCACTGATCATTTTGCAAAAGAATGCAAACAAAGAACCCAAAGCTCGGATGAATACTGGAAGCAGAAGTACAACAAGCCAGTTGAGAAACTGAAAGCAGAGAACTTGGAACATAAAGTTCTTGTCGCTGAAGAAGAAAAATGGAAGACTAATGAGGAGTCATCAGATGATGAAGTTAAGTGTCTGATGGTCAAGATAGAAGACACTAATGAATGTAAAGTCAGCAACAGTTCATTTGATGCTGATATGTTTGATGAAGTGGAAAACTTCAGGAAGCACAACACTAATTCTCTTTCAATGTATCAGGTTCCAAACTTTTTTTCATATTCAATGAATGAAAAAATCAAAATGTTTGAGTATTTGGGTGTTCTTAATTCTAAGAAGAATCAAACCATAAGAAATATGCAAAATCAAATTGATCTTCTTAAAACTGAACTATCCTTAAAAAATAACATTATTGACACTACTCAGGAAAATCTAAGAGTTACTAGTCTATCAAATTCCTCACTATGTGCTGAAATTGATAAAGTTAAAGACCTCTTGATCAAAGAACAAACTATTTTAAAACTTTGGGCTAAATCTCACAAAAATGCTAATTATATTATTTCTGCTCAAATACCTCACTCATGTGAGAAAATCCTTGGGGGAAATTTTGCTGAAACAGAAAAGGTTTTTAAATCTCAAGAAAAGGAATCTGAATTTTATTCCATAAATGAATTAAAAGATAGTTTCAAAAACACATTTATCAGCAACACCTTTATTAATCTGAGTTACGTTGATGAACACTGTGTTACTGACTCTAATGGTATTACTGAGTGTAATATTGAAATTACTGGAAATGATCCTACTTCTTATCCTGCACATCTTGTGAGACCAACTCCTCTCACTAAAAATATTATCGCATTTCCTATCTCAAACGGAGTGTTTCATGCTGTTCATGAACAACTTGAACAATATCCTGATTGTAGTGTTTCAGTACATAAGTCTAAATCTGATACTGATGTCAGCTCCTCATCCATCACTGATTGTAGTTCTTCTGACACTGAATTCTTTAGTAATTCAATGTTAAATAAAAGGACTCAAAGTTCACTTGGTGAATCTTTCAAATATAAATGTGTTAAATCTAAAAATGTGTTTACCAAGAAAAACTTTGGTACTAGAATTTGCTACAGATGTGGTGATTCGACTCACAAAATCAGTGAATGCAAGTTTGATAAAACATTATTAAGAGCTGATAACATCAAAGTTAGAAATGAAAAATGGAATCTTAAATCAAATTCTTTAAACTGTCTTCCTAAAGAGTGCTATAATATATTGTCAAATAACTTTGTGAATGACCCATCTTCCAATGGGTCAGTGTGTTCTAATTAGTTTCTCAGCATTGCAGGGTCAGGAGCATCTTTGGTACTTAGATAGTGGTTGCTCAAGACATATGATAGGATCCAAGTCTCTCCTGGAAGACTATGTCAAGAAAACTGGTCCTGCAGTAACATACTGAGACAATGGAAAGGGGTTCACTAAAGGATATGGAAATATCAAGTGCAATAATGTGGTGTTTCAGAACGTTTCATATGTAAAGGGTCTCAACCACAATCTTATCTCAATCAGCCAATTGTGTGATACTGATTATGAAGTTCACTTTTCAAAGAAGGAAGAGTTGTCAACACTGACAAGAACATCGTACTTTCAGCAAGTAGAAAAGATGATATATATGTTCTTGACATGTTCTCAAGTGACAAGGCGCTGATGCAATGTTTCTTTACAAAGTCTCAAACCAATCTCAGCTGGATTTGGCACAAAAGGTTCTCTCATTTGAACTTTAAGAATCTATCCAAAATATCCAATCAAGATCTAGTTAGAGGTCTCCCAAAACTCAGCGTTGTCAAGGACAAGATGTGCTCAGCGTGTGAACAAGGAAAACAAACCAAGTCATCATTCAAACCCAAGTCATGTTCTAGCATATCTATTCCTCTTCATTTACTACACATGGACTTGTTTGGACCTATTCATGTTCGTTCCCAAGGAGGAAACAAGTATACTCTAGTGGTTGTGGATGAGTTTACTCGATTTACATGGGTGGTTTTCTTGAAGAAGAAAAGTCATGCTGCACAGGAAATTATCTCGCTGATTCGTAAAAATGAGACACTGACTGGTCTCAAAGTTAAGCAGCTAAGGAGTGATCATGGCACTGAGTTCCAGAATTCAACTCTTGAAGAATTTTGTGATTATAAAGGCATTGGGCAAAACTTTTCAGCTCCTCGCACTGCTCAACAAAATGGAGTTGCTGAACGAAGAAATCGAACACTGATTGAGGCAGGAAGGACCTTAATGATTCATGCTGGTCTTCCTATGTCGTTTTGGGTTGAAGCTGTTAATACATCATGCTATACTCAAAATCGATCTCTAATTCACAGGATTCACAAGAAGACACCACATGAGATGCTTAAAGGTCGAAAGCCGGACGTATCCTTCTTTCACGTGTTTGGATGCATTTGTTATATTCTTAATCAGCGTGATCCAAGATCAAAATTTGAGCCTAACGCTGACAAAGGTATTTTTTTGGGTACTCATCTATTTCAAAAGCTTTTCGTGTTTTTCATGTGAACAGGCAGTGCATTGAAGAATCCATTCATGTGAAGTTTGATCAGGAATCATACACTGATGAAAAAGTAGCTCATTCTTCCTCTATTTTTCAAGAGCTTCTCTCTTGCCCATATGATGAAGTTTCTCATGCTGAAGAAGAAGATACTATTCCTGATCCTATCATTCCAGATCCAAGTTCCTTGAATCAAGATACTGCAGTTAGCTTGACAACTCATTTGTCTGATAATGATGAAACTCTTGAGAATGAAGACCCTCCTGCAACTGATGTTCCCTTCAGCAATAACACTTCAACGTCAAATCCAGTGGAATCAGCTTCTGGACATCAAGATCACCCTGTTGATCAAATTATTAGGAATCTTCATGATGGTGTCCGAACCAGATCTCGTGTATCTAATAATTTTTGCATGTATGTTAATTTCGTTTCAATGATTTTACCTGACAAGATACACACAGCTCTTCAAGACGCTGACTGGATTAAAGCCAATTCAGTATCTGCTGCCTTGCGCTTGCGAGATAGAGGTTGAGTATCCTCACTAGCTACATCTAAATCTTCTCCTTGGACTGGCATAATGGGATCAATGAATTTCATATCTAACATTTGACATTCATCATTATGTTCATCTTCATTATTCTCTGAGGCATATCCTTGAGCTAAAATAGTGGGATCAATGAAGTTCATGTCCAATATCTGACACTCATCATCATGTTCATCATCATGCTCACTATCTTCAGCAAGATTTTCAGTATCTGCTGGTCTATCAGGCTCCTAAGCAACTGGTCTCGTGCACAGGCTGTGGTGGCTCAGTCTGGTTTAAGATGTTATCCTCAGATCCGAGCTCAACAGATTCAGTGTCTCCCTCTTTTGGATCATCATCATCATCAGTGTTGGTATCAGACCATCACCGGAACACGCTGAACGAGTTCGAAAGGCACAAGGTTTGGACCCTTGTTCCCAGACCATCAGGAAAGACCATCACTGGAACACGCTGGGTCTACCGCAACAAGGTTGATAAAGATGGCATCATTACTTGCAATAAAGCAAGGCTTGTTGCTCAGGAGTTCACTCAAATTGAATCCATCGACTACGGGGAGACTTTTGCTCCAGTTGCTCACATTGAAGCAATCAGACTATTTCTTGCATACGCTTCATACATGAACTTCATTGTCTACCAAATGGATGTCAACACGGCATTTCTTCATGGTGAGTTACAAGAAGAGGTATTTCTCAAACAGCCCCAGGCTTTGAAGACAAAGAGCACCCTGGCTATGTGTACCGACTAGATAAAGCTGTATATGGACTGAAGCAAGCTCCCAGGGCCTAGTATGAGACACTAACATCATATCTTCTTGAAAATGGCTACAGAAGAGGAGCAATTGACAATACTCTCTTCATCAAACAGAAAGGCTCAGAACTGATTCTTGTTCAAATCTATGTTGATGATATCATCTTTGGATCTCCAAATGAGAAGCTGAGCAAAGAATTCGCTGAGATCATGTCTCAAAGGTTCGAAATGAGCATGATGGGGAAGATGACTTTCTTCTTAGGTCTTGAGGTTCAGCAACAAAAATCAGGTATTTCAATTTGTCAAAGTAAATACATTGCTGACATGCTAGTTAAGTATTCTCTCAGCGACTACAAACCGGATTCTACTTCGGTGTCCAAGACTGATAAGCTACACGCTGATCCCACCGGCGCTGATGTTAATCACTCTCTTTATCGAGGAATGATTGGATCTCTTCTCTACCTCACTGCAATTCGCCCTGATATCATGTTTGGAACCATTCTCTGTGCTAGATTCCAAGCTAATGTCAAGGAGTCTCATCTCATTGCAGTCAAACGCATCTTTCGATACTTAAAGGCCACTCAAAACTTGGAACTGTGGTACCCTCGTGATTCAATGCTTGAACTCTTTGGATACACTGATTCCGACTATGCAGGTTGCAACTTAGACAAGAAGAGCACGTCAGGTGGATGTCACTTCCTTGGAAATCGACTAATCAGTTGGTCCAGCAAGAAACAAACCTCAGTAGCTATCTCCACTATAGAAGCTGAGTATGTTGCAACTGGGAGATGTTGTGCTCAAATCCTATGGATTCAAAATCAACTTTTAGACTATGGGCTTAAATTCACAAAGACTCCTATATTCTGTGACAACACCAGTGCCATTCAGATCACACAGAATCCGGTTCAGCACTCAAAGACAAAGCATATAGAGATCAGACATCACTTCATCAGAGACAATGTTGAGAAGGGCAAGGTTGTTTTACAGCATGTCAAGACTTCCGATCAACTAGCTGACATTTTCACCAAGGCCCTGGATACTCAAACTAATGCTCACATCATTGGCGAACTTGGAATGATCACTCTCGATTGAAAAATTGTTTTACTAATGTTTGTTATTGTCTTATACACTAATATTTTTTTGTACTGATGATGATGCGCTGATGATGTTTAGTATGCTGAGTACACTGTATGATCTCTTATCTCTTTCTCTTCTACAAATCTTCTAAACTAAAGTTGAATGATTCACTGTATTAAACCATACACTGATAACAACTTGAAACTCATTGCCGATGGTTAGACAAAACACCAAGTTCTATCACACGCAACTATTCACTCTTACCAATCTTACACTGATTCTGTGATTCGGTGTGACAAAAAAACATGCTGATGAGAATCTAACAGTCTTTGCCGATGGTTAGACAACACACCAAGTTCTATCACACGCAACTATCCACTCTTACCAATCTTAAAACTGATTCTGTGATTCGGTGTGACAAAACACATGCTGATGAGAATCTAACAATCTTTGCCGATGGTTAGACCAAAACACCAGTGTCTATCACACGCAACAATCCTCTCTTCACCTTCTTCTCACTCAGTGTCTAATGATTCAGTAAGAAATACCACTCACTGATAAAGACTCGACACTCTGTGATGATGGTTAGATAATTAAACAAGTATCTATGACATGCACCAATCACCTTGCTAACCCTAAACAAGCAAGTTGTACCTTGAATTAACGACAAACTATCTTTCAACATGTAACTTTCCGTGATAGCAATCTCAGCGCTTCCACAGTCACTGATTGTCGTTTCCTCTTTGGTACAACGGCTCTATTTACCTAACAGCTATTTTTTTGATTTGACAGTCTGGCAAGATACGCAGTTATTTTCGCTAAAGATAATCATTACCTTTTACTGTTTCATTCCCTATTTAAACCTTTTCACCTCTTCCCCAAACCTTTTTACCTTCCTCTAATCTTCTCTCTCTCTTAAAAAAAAAACCCTAGAATCCTAAACTTCTTCAATGGCGGCATCACTGTTCACCTACTCCTCTACTTCAAGAAGAGTCGTCCCAGCTCCAAACTCTCCTCCTCTTCCCATATACATCAAATCCACCAATGTAGTTTTCAACCCTGATATTCCAGATGTTCATCGAGGTCTTGGACTTGCTGATTTTGTTAATTTGTTAGTCTCATGCCGACTCCGATACGCAATCAGTGACGTTCCATCAGAGTTCTTTCCCGAACAAGTTTGTGAGTTCTACTACACTGCAACAATTAATGATGAAAACAACGTCATCTCTGGGACTATTGGCCGTGGAAGACACTCAGTCTTTATTACTGCTGACCTCCTCAGTGCTGCACTCAGGTTACCAATCTTTGAACCCTTCTCTGAGCTTCCACCCATTGAACGTTGTCGACGTCTCTTTGATCAACTGGGATATGATCACTCAAAGGCTGGTACTCGATCAGCTCTCATTCTGCGTCAATGTATGACTCCGGGATGGAAGTTCTTCACCGGTGCTCTGTGCAAATGTGTGGGTGACAAATCTCGCAGTGGTGATCAACTGAGCACTTATGAGCAACAAGTCGTCTGTTCCCTTCTTCTCAACAAGCGACTTGATTATGGGGCTTTCTTCTTTGATCAACTTGTTCAACTTCTTCGTGCAAATGTACGCGCTGATCATGTCCCCTTTCCACGCTGGATTGCTCTTGTGCTAGATAAATTTTTCGCTGAAGCTTACTACTCACTCTGGAAACCCCATCCAATGCCCACGCATGTCAATACGAATGTATCAGGATGATCCATTGGAAACTGACATCGGCATCTCTGATCAGATGAGAGAACGGATTGCAAATCCATATACTGTTCCTTCACTAACCGCTGATACTGAGGAAGGAGCTGATGGTAACAACGAAGATCATGCTGATCAAGAAGCTGAATCACAGGATGGTGGTCATCTCTCCCCTTAACTTTCTCATCATACTCTTTCTATCACTGAGAGAGTTCACTCAGCTCAAGGGGAGCCACTAATTCAGGGGGATCAACCATCCCATGGGGAGCCACCATCTCAGGGGGAGCAACCATCCTAGGGGGAGAACCCATCCTAGGGGGACCAACCTTCTCCGGGGGAGCAACCTCACTCACAAGAAGTTCCAGGTACTTCATTCTTTCATATACCGACCTCAGCATTTAATGAGCTTCTGACACTGACTCGGGACATGATTCAACGTCTTCTATGAATTGAGCCCGATGTCCATCAACTGAAGGGAGTTCTTTTGCCAACTCCTTCCTCTGGCCCACAACATGATGATGATCAAAAAGGGGGAGACACTGATGATGATGATGATCCAAAAGAGGGAGACACTGAATCTGTTGAGATCGAATCTGAGGATAACATCTTAAACCAGACTGAGCCACCACAGCATGTGCACAAGTCTGATAGATCAGTTGCTGAGGAGCCTGATAAACCAGCAGATACTGAAAAGCTTGCTGAAGATAGTGAGCATGATGATGAACATGATGATGAGTGTCAAATGCTGGACATGAACTTCATTGATCCCACTATTCCAGCTCAAGGAGATGCCTCAGAGGATAATGAAGATGAACATGATGATGAATGTCAAATGCTAGATATGAAATTCATTGATCCCATTATGCCAGTCCAAGGAGAAGATTCAGATGTAGCTAGTGAGGATACTCAACCTCTATCTCGCAAGCGCAAGGCAGCAGATACTGAATTGGCTTCTTCACACACTGATACTTCTCTGCCTAGCAAGAAACCTAAGTCCATCGTCAGCATATCCAACTTGGCAGCTGAATGGAACATGTCTCCTGATCAAGTTAAGCAAATTCTTGATGAAGCCAATCAAGCTCAGCTTCTAAAGAATATTGCTCAAGCTGATGAATCTCTCATTCAGCATCAACTTTAGGCCAAAGGATCCTTTGAAGCTCAGATGCAGAAGTTCTTAGAATATCAGTCCAAATCCAAATCTTCCCAGCCTCCTCCCAGTAGCAGCAAGTCAAGGACTGAATATGTTCTAGACAGGATTGATCGAAAGAGGTTTCAAGATGTTCTTAAACGACAAGTAGTGCTAAAATCATCAAAGTTAAAGCTTCTAAACCTCGTAATGAGAAAATTCTTACATTTGCTGATCACTCGTCAAGGTCCTCAACATCCATACACTAAAGTTTCAAGAGGATGAGCTGATCAGATATGGATATTCTGAATGTATGGAATTGCTCGAATTAGCATCCAAGCAAACTTCAGCTCTCTCTTCAGAACTGGCATGTGCTCTCCATCTACTGATCAAGAAAGTTCAGCGCTTGGATCTTGTTCCTATACAGCACTCTCAGCAGCAAGGCCAAGTTCCTCAGTTCCTAGAATCCGAAGGACCAGATTTCAAGTTGATGGTGAAGTTGTGTTGGTTCTACATTTTGGTGCTGAAGGAATAAACAACTCTCTTCCTATCGGTGTTGAGCCAGTTCAACATAAGTTCATCTCTGTTCCTGAACATGGAATGTTTTATCTCGATAAAAATAGAAGAATGTGCTTTCAGCGCACCACAAAAATTCCAAGAGCTCCAACAGCACATCTTGTTGGCTTAAGACAAATGTGCATGAGTCATCAAGATTTATCTGGAGAGTTTCACATACTGATTGCTATGGAGCTGCTGAATAGAAGACAGGAGCTGCTGGATAGTCCTTACTGGCCTGTGAAAATAGAATCTGAAGCTGAGTATGAAGAATTTTTGTCTAGAGGTGTTCTCGTATAGCTGTTGTTTTGAGCATCATCATATTGGGGGAGATTGTAAGGTCGAACCTTATTATATGATGATGTTTGAAACTGATCCATCAGCGTCAGCATCAGCATCAGTGTCAGCATAAAGTTGTTCAGTATATATATTGTCTTATATGTAACAGATTTAGTATTTATCTTGTTTCCATAGTTATCATATATTAGTTAGCTGGAACATTCTTGATTTGGGATTATCTATAATAGTTCTATATAATCTTTTGTACGGATTTGTGAAGGGGTTGTCTTTCACAAACCCTAATAGCCGCTTGTGCGAACAATAATATCTTTGTGAGATTATCATTCTTAGTGAAAGCTCTTTGTGATATTTCGTTGTTCTGTTCTTATTATTAGTCATTGTTTTGATAAATCGATTGATCTAAGGTCCTTTCAAAGCCTTTGGAGATGCATGGAAGGAAGCATGTTTTACAGATTGCATTCACAAGAAGCAGTGCAATATATAATGATATATGCATGAGAACTCAATTGTAAAAATAGAAGAACAAGACTCAGAAGAAGAACAAAGATCTCCATGTGGATATGATTCAAAGTGTCATCCAACAACTCTTCTATCATGCCAATCATAATTGATAATGGTTCATGTTCAAATTTTTTTGAAATTTTGTATTTTTCTAAATCATTGCGTGGCGGTTATAAGTAAATCACATGTAATTCATATGTGAATTACATGTGACACATGTAAATCACAAGTAAATCACATACGAATTACATGTTGATTGTCACATGTAATTATGAATTACATGTGATTCACATATAATTCACACATGATTCATATGTAAATCACAGTAATTCACATAGAATTACGTGTGATTTAAATGTAATATAAGTGATTCACATATGAATTACATGTAATTCACATATGCATTACATATAATTCACATATAAATTACAAGTGAATCACATATGAATTACATGTGATTCACATGTAAATTACTAGTGAATCACATATGAATTACATGTGACTTATATGTATATAATATGTATTTCACATATGAATTACATGTGATTCACATGTAAATCACATGTAATTCATATATCATTCACATATAAATTACATGTAATTCACACATTAATCACATGTAATTCACATGTAAATCACAAGTGAATCACATATCAATTACATGTGATTCACAATGTAAATCACAAGTGAATAACATATCACTTACATGTAAATCACTAGTGAATCACATATGAATTACATCAATATGCACACATGCATTTTGTGTGAGTGGTCTTTGTTAGTTATGTTTTTTTTAATTTCGTGAATTTCACATTTGAATATTAAAAGATACAATCAAATGTGAATATCATATTATATAATCACATTTGGATCTTGCATGATATAATCATATGTGAATCTTATATGATATATACTTGTGCATTTTTTCTGAGTGTTCTTGCATTAATTTTTTTTTTTTTAATTTCTTGTAGGTTTTGAAAAATTTGTTGAAAATATTGAAGAGGTGAAAAGTGATAAATTGAAGAAAATATGGAAATCTTGATATGAAGAAATGATAACACTGTGAATCTTTGTAGTTTTTTTTTATATTTTATTTTGTATCGAATAAAATACTTGTATTATGCTTATAAATTGATTAATGAAAATAAGTTTTTTTATAATTTACTTACAAATATTATAGTATAAAAAATATGCATATACGCATTTGAAAAAAATATGCATATATGCACCTAAAACTTTGATTTTTTGTTAAAAAAATGCATTTTGAAAAAAAATTGCACTTTTATATAAAAAGTGCAGTTTTTTTTATATTTTTTTTATTTTATTTTATTTTTTTTTTTAAGAAAAAGTGTAGTTTTTTGTCTAGAAAAAATGCAGTTTTTTTGAGAAAAAAATGCAGTTTTTTTTGAAAAAAAATGTAGTTTAAAAAAAATTCATCTTTTTTTTTGAAAACAATTAAAAAATCTCCATTTTTTAAAAAAACCGAAAATTATTAATCTTTTTTAAAAAATAAATCTGAAATTTTGAGTTATTTTGTTAATTTTTAGACATTTATATTAATATATTAAATAACACAATAATTAAACATTAAATGAGATTGGTAATATGACGATAATTTCCTTAACGAATTACTTTTGATCAAACTCTCTACTTTTAGTTCTCGGGTTCTCGCGAAACTTTGAGTTCTCAACCGATCTCAACCCTATATATATATATATATATATATATATATATATATATATATATATATATATATATATATATATATATATGAAAAATTTCAATAGATAACAATAATTATTAGTTTTCCAAACAACCAAATATATATTTTTTTTAAGTTCTAAAGCTTATTCTTTACTGAAAAAAAAACTAAAAATATCTAAATTATTAATTTAACATTGTGAATGTTAAATATATTTTTCAGATTCATCGTGTGAATTTAAATTCACATTGTGAATTTGATGATTTTTTTTTATCGAATTTGATATTGTTGGAAAAAAGATAAAAGGTGGTGAATTTCTACTTTTTTTCGTTTGTTTCCTTTCTAAGTGTGACAAATAGTTTCTTTTTATGAATAATTTTTTTCATCAATAGGCAATTTTATACTTATATTTAACACATAATATAGCGTTTGTTTATTTGATTCTTAAAATGTGGCTTACGAAAAAGTTAAATGAACTAAGTCATGCATATTTATCAGATAACTCTACTATATTTTTAGCTTTTTAATGCTTGGACATTCGCGTAAAGACCTGATTATTAATAATCGGGTTCGCACATTTGTTCCATAGTAAACCACGTATCATAAAACATGATCTTAAGTAGTTCACTGGTTTCCCACGACTTCGTTCTTCCATTGAAGCGTGAACTATATGGGTCAACGACTATGTGTTTAATTAAGGCATGTTGCAAGTATGTGAAGAATAAAATGGTTCGAAACCAGTCATGCTCTTTTTTATTTTGGTTTTGTTTTTGTTTTATTTATTTATTTATTTTTTATGGTGAAGTTGCAATTTTACATTTAATCATCATGTTAAAATGCATTTTTACAAATAACATTGTCATTCGGTTTTATTACTTTGGGTTATTTTCATTGTAGCCTAATAATGTCTCATATATTGGTTTAAATGGTCCATTGTATTTTTTTTATAATTTTTTTATTTTATTTTTATTTTTTTAATTTTTAATTTTATTTT